CCGTGATGGTGATTATCTACGACTACCACCTGAAAGTGAATTGTTGGTGTACCCGCATCCATGAAAGATCTGCGTCAAAACAACTAAAAAAAAACTTTTTTCCTTCCCATAAAGAAAATTAGAAGTTTAGGGTCAAATTGCAAGTAAAAACCCCGCATCAAACTGGATTACCGTAGGAAGGAAGATCCACAAAATAGAAAGGTAGGAAGTAACTTACTGGTGGAGTATGCATTGGTGGTGTGTGAACGACTGGGGTAACGTAAGGAGCGCCATTGCCATAGGGCTGATAACCACCGTACTGAAATTCAGTTTATTACGTAGGTATCGATTGAGCGGGTGAATTGACATATATGCATAATTCTAAGTCAAAAAAATGAAAATTGAAGATGAAAGTACCGGGTTTCCATGGTAAGACATGCTGAACGTCGGAGAAGGCCTGTAACGACTAAGTCGACCGATAAAACCGTGCCTTCGCTGTTTATTTATGCGGAAAAGATGCGCCTTATCAAACAATGATGACCTCATCGTTTTGAAAGAGCGTAGTAACCTTGTTAATGGTTTTGTGAGTCATAAAAAAGATCAGCATCAAAACGTTCTAGGAAGTATTTTTAAGTTCAAAGATCACACCATAACTCCTTCAATTAATTGGAGTTTCGAGAAGAAAACTTCTCATTCATTGAGTAGTAGATGTTTCATTCTTCTGTGACCGATAAGCATTTGATACCAAAATATAAAATTATAATAAAATTTGCAACGTTTTACATTCTACGAAAACTGGTCCCCGACAAGATGTGTGCAGTTTGGATGGCTTGAAAGAGGCATTTTATGTTGTCGTGATATATACCACTGTAATATTTGATTCATCCTTCATCTATAACTTCCATAGTCTACGAACATTCACCTATTCGTTTACTCTAGAAGTCTTTTAAGGAACATGAACTCAAGCAATACTCGCTTTGGCCCAGCCTCAGTTGCCCATGTGCGCTTCATTTAAATTTGCCATAGCTTGCTGTAGCGGCAAGTCCCGTTGTAAAGGTGAGTCCTTCTTGAACCTCTTTTCTTATCTCAGTTTTCTTCTTCTTTTTAGATACCGAAAGGAGCACAAGTTGAGGAGGGCTGTGGTATAATTCGTATTTCGTTGGTTTCAATCGATCTTAACACAAAAGTCACTGCAAGAATTATCCAATTTGACATTGTGTATCATAGCTTGCTAGTCGTTAGACTGTCCAAACATCAAAAAGGTGAATCTGTCAAAACTCTAGTCGAATAAAATATGTCAATCTTAGTCAAAAAGCTAAAGGAAGTAAGTTAAACAGTTTAGAGTTTTTGTGAATACATTTGGTTATAATTGTTCGATAGTACTTAATTTCCTTTTGCGTTTATGCTACGCTACGATAATCATATAGCTCCAATGTAAAATTTGGAAAAGCCTGGGAAAAAAAAGATGCCACAAACAAAAATATTAAACGAGATTGTCAAATAGTATAACACTCGTAGAAAAGGATACTCAAACAAATGTAAAACTAAAACGCTATCATTTAAAGTTCTCAAATAATGAAACTTAAATTTGTAGGGATTCTTCAAATGATTGGAAAACAGGTAATTTTATGCTTATCTAGTTTCATGCTGTACTGACATCTAAAAACAAAAAAAAACAAAAAGGGAAGAATAATAACGGAAACACTTCTTTAAAGAAATGTCACCAGCTCAATATC